TTCTTTCTTTCTTCCTTCCTTCCTTCCTTCCTTCCTTCCTTCCTTCCTTCCTTCCTTCCTTTCTCTCTCTCTCTCTTTCTTTCTTTCTTTCTTTCTTTCTTTCTTTCTTTCTTTCTTTCTTTCTAGTAGTTTTTTAAAAAGATATAATTTTATTGATTTCAGAGAGGAAGGGAGAGGGAAAGAGAGATAGAAGCATCAGTGATGAGAGAGAATCATTGATCAGCTGCCTCCTGCACACCCTACGCTGGGGACTAGGTCCACCGTGACTTTACGGAGCGTAACCACCGTGAATAATGAGAATTGACTGTCATGAGAGAGATACATATAGATAGACATAAACTTCAAGCTGAAAGTTTTATATAAAACACAAATGTTAACATAATAATTTTACATATTTCAATTTGAGGGTGATCCCCCCCCCCATCACCTGCCCACTGCTAATCCGCTGGAGTCACAGACTTAGCTGCTTTGTTAGACCCTGAGCTTTGTGCCACGGCCCACAGTTACACAGGTGTGTGGTGCTGGCTTTGCTCAGAGGAGCTGAGAAAAGGACATGGATGTGAGGGGGGAGGGGAGCATGGGCACTGTTATGTCCTCTTCCCAGAGCCAGCCCTTAATGTGTTCTGTGGTTGATGGAGTGCTGCTGCCGAAGATGCCGGAGGAGCTTCTGGCTGAAAAGCAGCTCAACTCCGTTCCCTGCATCGTCGGAATCAACCAGCAAGAGTTCGGATGGATGATTCCAATGGTGAGCCTGTGTGGGCCTCTGAGACTCGCCTTCACGCCCATCCCACCAGCCTCCCATCTCTGCTCACAGGATCTCTTCCTTCTCCAGACCCCCCTTTCATTCTGGGTCCAGGGCAGCTGTTCCCTCTACACAAGTTGATATTTCCATGGAAACCTTCCCTGGGATGGCCCAACAGACACCTGGGTGGTGAAGCTCTGGGGACCCCTCTTCCAAACTCTGATTGTCTCCAGTCTAAGAACCTTGGAAGGTCGGTGCCAGTAGAGAGAATTATTGTGCATATGGAAAAACTGAGGCCTGGGAAGGAGGGGAGCTCAGGAGTAAGGCCTGGGGCCC